GATTTGATGTATTGAACATTAATTTTAAATTATTTGTTAATGTGATTGTTAATTTTGTAGGAACAACCATACACAATTATATTGGGAAAATTATATAAATAAGATAAGTTGCAAATGAGATGTTGAACAAAATATTGATTCAAGAAGTGATTCCTATGCAAGAGAGAATTTGGGGTTAAATGTACTTTCACAACACTTATGCTTTCCAATGAATCTTTTGTAGGAATTCAATTTTTCATATTCCCACATCTATATAGTTACTCAAACTAACTCTTCAAGGTTGAATCTCTAAGGATTAAACCTTAAAATATGATCCCTCAATGATCAACGTTAAATCCTTACATTAAGCATAAGGATGTAAATGGCTAACACCACACCATTGCATCCAATGGCCAAACCTTTGGTTAAGCCTTGTCTTAGCCCTAACTTGACAGACCCTTGTAGAGCATCAGAGAAAGCCTCTATGGTCTTATTTTCCCCCACAAAGGAATAAACGGTTCTTATGGAAGATATTGCTTGTTCTGCTATTGTACCAGCTTTGTTACTCTCTTCTCTGATCTTTCTAGCCAACCCCATCATTGTCTTCCCATAAATTAAACCAGGGATCAGAAGAAGCACCACAAAGGGAAACCCCACAATGGCCAATCTCCAGAACAAAGCAAAAGCCACTAGGTAGCTCCCAACAAACCTAAAGAAGTTCATCAAGAAATTTGGAACCTAGTTTCCAAAATGGAACAAATTGTTAAAGTCACAATTGTAATAAAAAATCACAAATTGAAAAGGCTTATACACAAAACATGGTAATGAATTACGATTGCTGTTGAAATTGGGATTGTGTCATGATCCTTGACATTGCTGCAAATTATGGGAGAATACGACTGATGTAGCACAATGACAGTTGCATACAACAATTTAAAACCATGATACAAAAGAAAAATAAAAATTGATTTTTTTTCTTATACCTTTTCACTAAGAACATCTTGAATTATGAGGCTGTCACTAGAGACACAGGTGATGACCTCAGACGTGTTTGTGACATGCAAATCAAAGTATGCTACATCTTGTCTCAACACTGCTTTTAAATACTTAACTCTCATTCTTGTACCTTGTCTTTCACCTGTTCTTGTCCAACAGTAACCCTCTATAGTTCCCCAAAGTGAAGGAGAGAGAGCACAACATTAGTACCATGTTCTATACAAATTTTTTAAGTCTTGTGTGAGAAGAAAAAATGCAAATTAGAGAAATGTAGCACTTCTCGTGTGAAATTAAATTTTTGATATTTTGTTTCAATTGTGTTTAGTTTCTGTGTGCACAAGATATGCATACAAAGAGTGAAAATCTAATAAAGACTTCAAAAATTGTATAAAGGCGACTACTTTAATTTTTTTTTCTTATTTGTAGATTTGATGTATTGAACATTAATTTTAAATTATTTGTTAATGTGATTGTTAATTTTGTAGGAACAACCATACACAATTATATTGGGAAAATTATATAAATAAGATAAGTTGCAAATGAGATGTTGAACAAAATATTGATTCAAGAAGTGATTCCTATGCAAGAGAGAATTTGGGGTTAAATGTACTTTCACAACACTTATGCTTTCCAATGAATCTTTTGTAGGAATTCAATTTTTCATATTCCCACATCTATATAGTTACTCAAACTAACTCTTCAAGGTTGAATCTCTAAGGATTAAACCTTAAAATATGATCCCTCAATGATCAATGTTAAATCCTTACATTAAGCATAAGGATGTAAATGGCTAACAAATCCAAGTTTATTCCTAACACAAGTCATTTGTTAGGTGAAATGATCCAAACCAAGTTTAGAAAATATTTTCCAACAAGATTCAAAACTATAGATCAAAAGATGAGGGATCGTATCGGCTTAAGCATTAAGATCAAAATTATAAGAAAAATATCATTATATATATATATATATATATATATATA